CAATTTTAAGGTTATCTAAGCTGAGTTCATGTACAGATTGAAGTTATATCAATAAACATTATAACTATTTTCTGATATCACATACATTATAGCTACCATGAATTAAATACTTAATGAGTTTAAAAATGTACCCATCCTCTGAAGTACAAAAGTATCAACCCATTTACACAGCAATCCACAGTCAATTTATTACTCGACATTGTTTCAATGTTTCATTCATAAACCTTTGTATCCGTGAAAAGCACCTTTGATTTCTTATATTACTAGTCTAACTAATTGTAGTACGCGTTGAGATAATGTGCTGGTTTGTGAATGGGCATAATTCCCCTTGTAGAAGCGAGATTCTGACCGAAAACAAAATTTATCTGAATCTAGTTTGGCACGACAAAAAGAACTTACCTCAACTCCATACTTTGTGTTTTCATATAAAAGAAAAACGCCCGGGAAAAGTTGGCCATTTTTCCGCTGTTGCTCATATTTCCTATAAAAGAATTACAATAAGAAAAAGAAAAGATGGCAACGTTGCCTTACATTATGTTAGATGCAAATGGTTGTATGGCACATATCATCTCCTCGTTTAATCCTTGACATGCTAAATGTTTAAAATCGAATTGTCTATATTTAATACATATGTTTTGGGAAAATTTCAAAGTAACTACTGACTTAACAGTGAACAGTGCAGACCTTGATCAGACGGAATTTATTTGTCAGCTTGCCATGATCTGCACTTGTTGCATGAAATGATTATGTAGCCACAAATACGATAATGGCTATTAATATAAAGCATTGTTACTTAGAGAAAAACAAATGAAAACTTACACGCCGTCGGCTGATCTCATATGTGGATCTATGTGAGAGTAACAAATCTTGTGTTTGTATTCTTCATTATCAGACACGATAACCTTAAAATACAAACTATGTACTAAAAACGTATGCAAGAAATGTCAAGGTGTTAAGACTTAGTTGTTGTGGTTTTGCTGCTCACGCTCACGACAGTAAACCACAAAGACTTACACGCCATCGGCAGATCTTATATGTGAATTAATGTGCGAAAAAACCTTATTTTGATTCATGATAACTGTTTCGCCGTTGTACCTTTACATCCATTATTTGTATTTCCTTTCTTTAAAAAAATACATGTATATCTGGATTAGTGAGGTTAATTTGATGACATGCAAGACACGTTGGAAAGTTTTAAAATTATCTCTATACAGAGTCATTATTAGCATATTTTTAAAGATTCAATCAAAAAAATGAATTTATTACATACAATACTCATACATCAGATGGGCTTCTAAGGAAGTCAAGGTATAAATGATCAGATATGAGGTAATTAATATGGTATAAAGGAACGATAAGAAAAGCTTCGCATGTGATGTATTAAGCTTTTTGTTGAGATGCTGTTATTTGGTATCATTGCAAAACTGTCATTGAAGATGGATATGTTGATAACATGATAAGACAAACAGATACAGATATTTTGAAAGTGTAGTATAGCATAAGTTTTGAAAATGAAAGATAAGCGAAAAGTAAAGATGTTTACCTTAATCAGTGGGAATGTATAATCTTTCCAAATCCGATGTCCCATTGTACTAGGAAATTGCAACAACAGATAAAAAAGTCGTTTGTCATTATAGGTCATATCAGTTGTTGCTATAGTAAAATTAAACACTGTATCTGGGTTCCAAATTGATCCATTTTTTAAGGCCTGAAGTTAGAATGATGTTAAATTAATTATTTTGAAGATTCATTCGCTTTATATTGATACGTTAAATGTTACTGTAACGAAATGAAAGTGCTACTCCTAAGTGTTAATGTTTAAATAGTATAAAGCCATGTTTGATGAAATATGTTTTTTTTTAAATATCATTTTAGTTCATATTATAATGTACCTGTAAACAATTTATGTACCGATGGCACGAATGGTAATTTATCCAAATTGGCTTTATCAACGTTGCATTGAAAACCCTCGTTTTAACTTTAACACTTTTTAAAATCTTTGATATAAATAACGCTGGGCATATCATCTTTACTTTACAATCTAGTCAAACTAGGTAATGTGGTCAGAAAAGAAAAATGCGATAAAATAAAATGCATTAATTTGATAATTGTTCCTTATTTTATATTGGTTGCTATGGACACCATCTACATACAAACATGCTTTCAAGACAACAGTGGCTTTTCTATTTCATGTCGAAATCATATTTATGTTATGTGCAAAATGTTTTGACGAATGCATACACAAACAAATTATTATGTAATAGGATAAACCCCGCTAATACAGAATGACATTTTTTTTCAGATATCTGAAAATTCATCATATTCAAGAAAGTGAAATATGTATTTATGATTTGCACAAGAAAAATATACCTATTTCAGTTTTATACATTTATGAATACATAGCTGATTATAAATAGTGTACCTGTAAACCATTTGAGCAACGTTGATTTGCCTCTGGTAGTGTATTAAGAATTGTACCCCTGTTTGTGCATTCCAATCCTTCACTTTCACGATCAAATAAGTGGAAGTTTTCAATGCACGGATCGCCAGGTGGATCATTATACCTACATCCTATAGGTATAGTTGATGTCATTTGAAGGTCTGCTTTATTACCTTTATCGATATAGATGGTAGTATTTGGAATCTGCATGATTAAAAATAAATATAGATATTACTAATTGTATGTCTTGAAACTTATGAATGCACACTAACCCTCTAATTACTATAAACAACATTTAAAAACTATGTAAGTGATCTCAACTGTTACGATTATTTTCTTGTGAATCGATGCGTTGCAGGCTTTTAGATGTATATTTGAAATGGTATATACTACAGTCATGTAGGCATGTGGCCGCATCAGTAACATTATCATGAAGAAACTTATTATATATTTATATCATGACTCTTAGATTTATATGATAGCTTAAGAATACGGAATACGGGGATCGTAAATAATAATTATGCAATGTTATAATTATGCAAATGTATGTAATATACTATCTATCATAATAGCCTCGCTGCGTTTATCAGTTTTAAATAAACGAAAATAATATTTTACATTAATGATAAGAATGCGTATACAGTTAATAATCAAATTTATAGTATAGTTGACGATTAACATCAACAACACAAATCTCAAAAAGGCATAAACAGTCTAACACCCAGTTATTTCAACACTTAATTTTCATCATTAACTTTGTGCTGATGCAATGATTACTGAAAATAATTGTTATCATTGCCATTTTCCCACACCAGCATGCTTACTAATTTAACAAGAGTCCTCGTAAAGGAAGAAATATGATAGAATTTTACTTATTTGTTAAATAAAAATGTATAATCTTTACAGAAAACATTAGAAACATACTTTAATGCCTGCATAATAGCTTGTACTATACAACATTTCAGTTTCGCCTGCATCCTCATTACCTGATGTAAGTCCACTGACGCCGCAATAAATCTTGCATGAAAAAGAAAACATACGGGGTCCAAACCAATGTCAACTGATATAACTACTAAATTTAATGAAATAGAAATAATAAAAAAGGTAAAGTATTTTTTTATGTTCTTTGTTTGTTGTGTTTGTTTATTGAAATATGAAATTCAACGTTACTTTATTGCTTTTCAGTAACGAAGTAACGAAATGTTTAATGAACTCTTAAAAATCAAATGTAAAGGAAATACGTTCTTTCCCATCACAGTTCTTTTTTAAATTTGTTTATTTGGTTTAATTCGATTGTGTAGGAAGCTAAAAGCTTATATAAACACTTTCGAATCCGTTCCTCGAACCAACCAGTACTGAGCAATGAGTGTAAAGTTTCTTGCCCAAGGAAACATCGACTTCCCTCATTTATTTATTTATTTATCAATAAAACCTTAAAACGACAGAGTATTCTTAGCGATCTGGAAAAAAACCAGCAACCCTGATATGGATTTAAGTAATAATAATTTTAAAAATACTTACATTAAAGCCCATGCCTATAGAGTTTTCAGTTAGCACATCTTGGTGAAAAAGTAAGGCATTAACATTTTTTGTCGGACCGTATGAAACTAAGAGCTCCCCGTTTACGTACCTATATTTATAATAGATAAATTAGCTATGTATGGAAACATTAAGGACCTTAAATAAGTAAGATCAATAGGCTATGTGTAAGGATTGATTTTTAAATTGATTTAATAAGACTTTTCAATTTATTTTATTCACAATTATTTAAAAAGTACGGAAGGAAGAGTTAAATGGGATCCAGAAAATGAAATCATGATGTGTAAAGTCGACTGATTTTCATTCGATTTAATTAGACACTTTAACAAAAATCAATTTCTTTTCCACAAAGATTAAAAAAAGTTTACATCACAGATATGCTTGAGGTTTTTGCGTAGGCGAACAGATTTCTTTTAGTCTATTGAAAAAAACATTTGTCTTTTTGAAAAACACTCGCAAGACAAAATAATTCAAGCATTTTGAGAAAAGTGACTAAGAATGACAAACAATGGTATAGTCTGTGTAGATTAAATGAATATATTTATCAAATCGAACAAATAAAAGTCGTCGTACACAACATGGTCGCAAGAAATGAAATGAAGGTCCTTTAACTTTTTGGAAAAAGCGTTTCAGCGTGCAAAAAAGAAACTCTATTCTGCTAATTTTACCAGTTGACTCTGTAATAGAAATCCTGTTGTACATTGAAATAACATCTGAACTGAAAGTATGGGTTAAAGTTGATGAGATTTCCAAATGGGCTCGGCAACACTGTTTCTATGAATTTGAGCTCCGGTGCAATGCCTATAACTCCAAGAACAACATCTGATATATCAGGTGGGACGAACAGTTTAGTATAATTTCCTGGAAACAGAAAAGCATATATCATTTATGTGAAAGTTTTCTTTTTTTTCAAATAAAACTTTTAAAGAAGTAATCAGCGTACTAGTAGTGGTCAAATAAGTTGTGTATTGTGAGATATTACGATGCCATTACAAACTAAATAAAGAGGTAAAGGAAATGTCTATGCTAAATGAAAGTTACAGGTCATGAAAACATGATAAAATGATACTTTACTTAAACAGAATGCACTGTATGGCTTTGTTGGGGGAAGGAAATATTGTATTTCGTCTTCACATTTTCTTATCTTCACATCATGCTGTATATCACAAGGGTGTAGATAATCACGTAAGCAGGCAATAGCATTTATCGCTGTTCCATTCAATGTATCTTTCGATGGGTGTGTATCTACAGGTACAAAACGAATCAATTCAAATAATCAATTTATTTTTCCAAATGAACTCATATCTTCGAGAGTAAGCTGATTTAGCAATATGCTCTCTTACTGTTTAATTCATTGTCGTTCTTTATAAAATAGTACGTAAACCACAACGTCCAAGTCAGTCAAGTAAAAACTGTTGATAACGTATTGAATGTTTTCAAACAAAAAGACAAATGATATTTTGCCATGCCTGTTAACTTCTTTGAATAACGTACAAATAGCACAAGAACAAATGTATTATTTATATAAAAATATAAAAACATTTTCATATCTAAAATGTACACTGCTTTTATCATAATTTCGTATTTTTATCAATGGTAATAATACAACTTAACAGATTCTTCAACAACATATTGTTTACAAATTATAATAATCGGTTAATAAACAATTGATGGAAAACACGAGAATAAATTAAGGACATTCAAACGTATCCATTCTAAATGTCTATTACCTTTCAAGTATATTGGGTAGTATGTTGAACAGTCAGTATAATTTGGTCTACTGTTTGAGTCGAGCATGATGAATTGCCATCCATTATGTAAAACTCTGTACCACTCATAATTCAGATTATCATCACTGATACCAAGATTTCCATCCTCTCCCCAATGTCTGCTCGGTTGACGGAGACGCACGTTGGGTAATTGTGTAACATCTTCAGAACACATGCAATCTAAAGTAATAATGCCTTTTATTACAAAGTTTTACTATATTTAAATGTTGGTTCGGTATAATAGAAAATAACGCACGTCTCATTAGCAGCCCTTAAACTAATTGATAGTTTTATATTATCCTATACTTCAAACCACTTGCCCCTCACCGCTGTGGGTTCGAATCCCGACAGGGACTTTGGATTCTTTCATGTGAGGAAGCTATCCAGCTAACTTACTGAACGTCGGTGGTTCTACTCAGGTGCCCGTTCGTGCCTGAAATAATGCACGGAAGGGCACCTGAGGTCTTCCTCCACCTGTAAAGCTGGAAAATCGCGATATGACCTATACTGTGTCGATGTGACGTAAAACCCAAAACAAAACAAGACACAAGACCTTGCGGGGAACACGCTAGACTCTTTCTTACTTCTATGCTGATTGAAGCAAAAATATTGCAGTGTAGAATATTCCTGGGAAAAATAAAATTTTTTGAACAAATTATAATTCGAATTTCAGATTTGACCTTGACAGCCAATGTCATTCAAGGTTGAAAATCACATTTGAATTAATCATTGTCAGCTTTGTCATAAGTGTTTTTGTTCAAAACGGAACCAAATTCATAAAGCACAGAAATGTCTGCCTATTAACATTACTACTTGTTTTATAATTTTTAGAGCAAATTGATAAAATGTGCTAGACACCACATTCGACGTACACAATACAATTTGTTGTACTAGATTTAAGGCCTGATATATGTTTAAGATATTTCATTTGTACCTTTTCAAGTATACTGTTATTACTATATTACTATGTAAACTTTCCTCAAAATCCCGACGTAGAAAACTTTAAAACCTTCAATCACGCACGATAAAAAGTATTTCCGTGTTAACACGTGCTTACGCAAGAAGAGTGACGTCATTTAAATCGCAGTAGTGCACTTTTATTGGCGTGTCATTAAGACCGTTTTTCTCGCGTCGTGTGTCATATATATCCGATGTAATTAGATAAATGAATAGTCAAATACATCTCGTCAAGTAGTCTAACGCTTCCCAAGTGAAAATTATTTTACATTATGACATGCCTAGTTATTTTCCCACTATACACACAGAAGGACAAAAACGGTGTTAAAGTGCCAATAAACAAAAGTTAGGGACTACCAAAATATGCGTCTGTTGTTGTTTTTTGTTGTTGCTGTTGTTTTTTGCGTTTTTTTAATATTGTTTTTTTTTTATTTATTTTTGTTGTTGTTGTTGTTTTCTGTTTTGCCTTATGTGCGTGCGTGCGTGTTTTTTTTTGTTTTTTTTTGTTGGTGTTTTTTTCGGTGGTCCCTCTGATGAGATGGTTAAAGATAGTTAACAAAGCTTTTTAACAGTATAAGGTACTAGTAAATATAATAACGCGAGTTTCTGATATCTTATCATGTTTTCGTTTCCATTATCGCATAATGGCGAGCAGAAACTAATCTAATAACTTGTAGACACTAATTGATATTGTTGTCAAAAAATTCGTTAAAAATGACTGTATGATTATTATTACCTACCAATAATATCTCTGACGTCACTGTTTATGCAAAATTGTGTTTTCTAAAGAAAGTTTTCCGTCAAAAATATCTTTTTTTTATGTTCCCCACATGAAGTCCATATCGAGAAATCATAGATAGAAATATCTTTTTTTTAATAAGTTTCAACAAAACTTTCCATGTTTATTTATATGTGATTTCTTTAGTACATCAACTTTTTCTTCTGTATTGTATTTGCTGCGTTGTGGTTTACTTCCATATATTGTTGAGAGTAATCCCTTTACCATTAATTTATTGAATATTTGGTATAAACTATTTAGTATTGCTTAGCATTACATTGATACCATACCCAGCATTTCAAAATTAAATTGTTTCTTCACAAAACACCCAATGCTATTTTAGGTACTGCTTCAAAAGAAGTCCATTTTCCCAATAAAAATTAAATATTGCCCTATAAAGATCTATATTGTGCTCCGATAACAACAAAACATTTGATAAACCATTAAGAGCTGGATTTAAGGCATAACACTATAAACATTCATTAGCTTAAACTTGGAGTAAGTTACCTCCTACATGGCTTAAATCTTACTATCTCAGAAAATTGGCAACGCCGGTGAGCGGCGTCGTCTCTTATTGAATGCTTTTTATTTTGGCCCACGGAAGGAGCTGTTATTATTAGCAAATGATGTCATGTTGTGTTAATTAGTTTTATTTTGATTCGTAAAATTCAAGTAAACAAACATGTTGTTATATTTGTATTCAATAACTTCATGTAAAAAGCATGTGCATTGTGATATTATTTTCACGAAATTGCAGGCTCAGTTTAACAGTTTGTCCCTTAGGCAGCACACCACACTAAATGAAGCCGCAGCTTGGAATGGCCAGGGAGGATTTCATGGATATAGTGACTATTGTGGATTTAAATTACTGGTTGTCTTTAAAATGCATTTTCAGCATGAAATTTGTTTTTGTGACATGTAATATGATCATTGACAAATTCGAAAACATGGTTAGAAATCACATGCTGTTGAATATAGATGTCAAGATCGCAATTGTTTGTAAACATTGCTTTTAAACAGCATGCTCGGTGAAAACAAGTAATTTTACAGGTGAGTACAAACTTTCAGCAATAGCAAAAAATCTACAAGGCCAAGCACCTATTTCTTTGTGATATTTTGCATGCATAGGGAGTTGCTAAAGCAGTGACAGAGTTTTTGTAGACCGTATATTTGCAGGTTTTTTTTGCCGGAGGGATGAAAAATGTTGTTTTGGGTCTTGGACCACTATAGATTTTTGGCTTTTACGGAATGAATTGGCATTTTTTTAACTGCCTGACTGTTGCACATGGGATGATTTCATTACAGATTTGCAATGGTATGACATATATGTTCTTAACAAAATGTGTTTTCTTTTTCCAGGTTGTGTAGTTTGGGATCAGATTTATCAGACATATTGCTCGTAGGACATTGACGGCAGAAACTTGAAATTTAGTGTGGAGTGCTACCTTAGCTTTATTGGCAATACTAAAACCTGGATTTCGAATATCTTTGGCGTCTACATATATGCCGTATTCTTTTTCATTCATTTATGTATTTTCAAAATTTACATACAAGAAGAACGTTCACTTGCAAATGAGTATTAGGATAGGAATGGAACTGTTGTAAACGATTATCCTATTGGTTTTATCCATATTAATTACGTTAATCTATTGCAGAATGATTTTCTTTGCAAAGTGTACCAGTATCCGGATGTTGAAAGCTATCCGCTTTTCTGCAATTACTGCTGTCACATGACCATCTAACTTTTTATGAATACTTTCTACCATTGCTTTAAATGGCTTAATAAAACTGAGCCTGCAACATTTCATAACTTTGCTGTTTAGGGCGTTCTTTTGGGTTTCATATTTTCTCTATTTTAAGGGGAAGTAACTCATGTTTAGTAAATTATTTGTTCTTTTCTGTCTAACTTAGGTATTACTTACTATTTTTGTTGTATAAAATTTACCAGTTGTAAAGTCCTCAAAAGCATAGAGACCCCGAGGAGTGAATAGTGATAGATTATTTTACTTGCTCATAGACTGAATTTTTCTAGTTTGTTCAGTTAGTACATACCTACAGGTATTCTGCTACAGGAATCTTCTAATCACTATGTGAAACTAATTATTATTTTCTATGTGTTTACAGGTTATAGGTGTTTATACCCATTGTTAGCAGGCTTAAAATAGTATCTATAATAGAGTTTATACATTTTCTTTCCACTAGACTTTGAATTCCATCCATTAGTACCAATGTTAATGTTAATGTTAGGATTTCATATTTATTTAATAGAAACTGTTATGTGCAAACATGTATATCTTAGTATATTGATATGATGAGACTTATAATATTTCTGTATTTAAAAAGTTACAGTTATGACATTATTATTTAAGGGATGATACTTTCATTTAAAGTTATATATGATAATACATGTATTGTTTGAAAATGTCCTTAAACTTGGATCAAGCAATATAATTAATAAAGTCTCAAAAATCATATTCTGAATAGTTATTCTAATTTCTTTCTAACATGTGCATAGTTTGTAAAGGACAGATTCTTTCATATCTATTTGTAATGGAGGGACACCGGTCTCAACCTCCAGGTTTCCAAAGTCAATCCAACAACAGCCTTTTCTTTAAATATACTGTATGTCAATGACACGTCTGCAACCCTAAGCAATAAGCCTTTATTATATGCTGATGATCCAGGTATCCTTGTATCTGGTAACATAAATCTGAAGAAATTCTCTCTTATGGCATGAGATTGGTTAGTTTACTATTAATTGTCTTGCATCTTGGTCCCTT